AATAACCTTCAAGATATCCATATGATTTATATTCAATTAATAAATTTGACATTTTCTTTTGTAAATTGTCTCGTAATTCTGATAAACGTTCGCATTCATTTGGATTCTATATTAATAAAAACGAAAAAAAAAAACAAAAATTTTTTTTCAAATAAGATATTTTTTTTTTTTCATACTCTTTGATAACGTTGATAAAGTCCATAAACAATATGACCACAACTAGATAGAAGACCATGTCTTGCTATTCCATCATTTTTTTTATCTAAACATCGATCAAATAAAGGTAATAAAATATTTTCATAAATATCTTCAATTGTTCCATAATTTAATGTTGTTGTTTCTAAAAGTTGACTTGTTAATAAACGTGTTTCTTTTTTCCAATGTATTATTTTATATTTTAATAAATGTTCAATCATATATTTTCCATAGATATCATAATATTTTATTAATGAATGTGCTAAAGTTAAAAAACAATAATCAAATTTTCCAATAAGATTATAATCTGTTTGTTGTATAATATCTATTCCATGTGGAAAATATTCTCCTTGTCGACCAACATTTTCTTGTAAAGCAGCTGATGCTGCTCGACGACATTGAACATTCCAATCGAAACAAATTATACATAATAGCATACCAGCTAAATCTGCTGTATGCGAACGAAAATCAATTGAATCAAATGCACGTGCAAATGACCAACAAACCTTTAAAAATATTAATACATACATATTGTTAATTATAACGAGTAGTCAATAAACTATGGACTTATTAGTATTTTGCATATTTCTCAGAAGCTTTTTAATACAAAAGATTTTTCATTTGATTCTGTACAAATTTATATTTGTTGCTTAAACGAAACAGCATGCCTCCATTATTTAGACACAAAGAAATGAATAGATTCAGCATATGTTACTTTCAAAATTCTGAAGCTTTGTATATTGGGACTTGGTGAGTGATTTGTTCTTTTAATCATAGAATTTTAAAAAACTAGCTCTAATGAAACCTTTAGAAGGATCGAAGATTTAACTATTATGTTTAATCAATAAGATATAAATAGGCATAACTTCTTTGACACTTAATGCATATAGTCATCTTTAAGTATTCTTTAGTTTTTGATTATTCATCAAGGAATATTGATCATTTACCGTATGTAGAAGAAATACTCTTATAGTTTATTTTTTCAAAAAACTAACTTTCTCTTCTATGAGATCAAAAGTACACGAATACAAAAGGTGATCATATATTCAAAGTTTCAAAAAAATTATGACAATTCCTATCTTATTGATTATCAATTATGGTTAAATACCTAAATAATTAAGTATTGTATGACTGAGAGAAAAGTCGACAAAATCACTCACAAAATTCAATACAAAAAGTTTGAAAAAGAAAAAACAGAATTTCGAAAGTGATATATTCTGAATTTATTCATTTCATTGACTCAAAACAAACAAAGTATGCTGTTTCATTTATGTGAAAGATGAAAATTTTTCTAGAGAATGGAATGAGGAATCTATGGAACAAAAATTGTACAGTGATGTTTAAAGGTTGATAAGAAATATGCAAAATACTGAATGGTTTATTCTCTTCATGAACCACCTGTTAATTCTTTCAAAAACAATAGAAAAAAAAAACAACTTACATAGCAAGCTGCATCACGTACAATATGTCCATATGTTTGATGACCAAGTTTTTCATCATAATTAAGTGATTTATGTACAATAGGCATAACAGATTCAAGACATTCAGGTAAAAGAAGTCCACGACGTGCAAGTTCAGCTAATGCTAAACATCCACCTTGTAAAGCATAATGATCACAGGCAAGAAGAGCAACTGTTGATATACGATCACATAAAAGAGATACTAATTGAGCAGCATATGATTTACGTAAACGATTTGTTACACGACCTAAACCTTTAGCTGATGACCATCGAACATATAATTCTTTATCACTTAAACCTGCCATAAGTAAATCAATTATAGACTCGACTGTAGATGGAACATTGCTATTATCTTCTTCAACTTCTTTTTCACCACTCTCAGTTTTTGCATGACTATGTCCATTTATTGTTAATGATGATTTACTAGAATTATGAATAAAATTACCTTAAGAGAATATATCGACAAAAAAACTTCTTCATTTTGTTCTGGTCTTTTCGATTCAAGTAGGATATCAACAGACTTGGTTTAACTTAAGAAGATATTGAATAATAACCTTTTTAGATTTCGATTTGCTGTAAAATTAAATCAATGAATGTCAACAGAAAATCTTTTGCCCAGGAAAAAGTCTAATGACTACTAGAATATTCTGACACTTAATAAGATAGAAAAATATCATAAATCCAATATTAAAAGAAGAGCATATTCATTTGGTCTAAAACTTTTAGATTATTTGAATGAACTTGAGACTTCCTTATGGACAATATCACACGAAGGAACATCTCCTGGTGTCAAATCCTTTTTCGATCAAGGCGATGTTTATTTAATGAGTCCTAGTGACTAATAATAAAATCTAGGATGGTTTGGTTTTCCGAGTATTCATTCTTAACGTATCGAAATTTTACTGAGTTTTTCAACAAAAAAACTGTGATCACCCTCAAGTCACGTGAAAAATCAACTTTCGAGTTTCAACTTGAAACTTTACCGGAACAAAGTTCTCACTGAGATTAGTTCATTGGACAAGTTGTAAGTTTTCTAATGTCTTCTATCCTAAGATATTCAATATTCTAAACTCTCTTATGTGTAAAAGCAAAGTTTATTCATATATTTACATGTTCAGAGAGTAAATTATAGAAAAACTAAAAGTTTACATTATCAACTAGTCTGATTAAGAACTTTGTTCGGGTAAAATTTGAAGTAAAAAGTCGATTATTTACGTGATCTGAGAAGGACTACAGTTTTTTATTAAAAGATCTAGTGAATTTTCGATAAATGAAGAAGCAAGGTTCAGAACATCAGACTATCCTAGATTTTTCTATTACTTAATGGTGCTCATCAAAATGAATATCGTCTCGATCGAAATGCAATTTGACATCTGGAGAAATTCTCTCGTCAGATTAAAATTTATTAATCTAATTCTGTAAAGAAAACATTTATCATTCCTTTCGACAGAGTCCTGAACTAAATATTGTTAGAATCATTCTCGTTATGTGATCTTATACTTCGTTCCTACAAGATCAATTGAAAAACAATGAAACATTTTAAAAGATTCTCTTGTTAATTATGTTTTCGTAAATATGTAATTCTTTACCTATTTAATACTAAGTTTTGCTTTTATTCTTTTCAATATAACTAAAAGAAAATCAAATCAACATACTTCGCCACATTTGTTGTAGCTGTTGATGTATTCTTTTTTAATGTTAATGAATCAAGAAGATTTCTAACACCACGACGATATCTCCATGCTGCCCCATGTTTAGGCATAGGTAATAAAGTCATAGCAAGTTTTTGTAATAATTTATATGCCATATGTCGTATAACAATACGTTTAGCATATAATATTCTTTTATCAATTAATACATGATATAATGAATCAACATATGTTATTAAATTTAAACGTTGTCCAAATTTAAATATATACGATACGGTTTGTAAACATGCTGTAATACGTAAAATAATATTTTCATCATTTTGTTTTTCATCATATGTTTCAAGTAAAGGTAAAATTTCACCGGTTAAAAAATTATTTAAACATAATAAACGTATTGAATCTTGACGAGACATAAAATGACCAAGATTAAATGCAACCATACGCATATATATTGAATTATAAAGAAAATGTTTATATGTATTTAATATTTGTAACATTGTTGCTTGTTGACAAGTTTTTGTATCAAATCGACATAAATCAAGTGGTACCATACATGTTGTACCAAGCCAAATCAATAATGAATAAAGTGTTGCCCAACTATTTTCTGATGAAGAATTTTCTTTTAATTCACGTTCAATTAAATTAAGTACAAGAATTAAATGATGAGGTTCATGAGGTAAAAAACGTGTTGTCATTACTTTAAAACCACGAACTTTAATAATATGATGAATAAGTGCACCAGCTATATGATTTTTATTTGGACCATGTTCTATATAATGAAGTAATTTATGAATCATATCTGGTAAATATGAATCAAGTAATTGTGGTTGTTCTTGATATTGATTAAGAATATATTGAAATTGATCATAGATACGTTCAATATCAGTTTTTTCATTTATATCATTGGTTATTGTTGTTTGATTATCAAGAGTTCCTATTTGTTCAATTAATTGTTTAACTTGTTCATGTTGTTCAAATTCATTTAATGAAAAATAAACAGGATCATGATCATATAGATCAGCTGTATCGGCAGTCATTTATAAATGTGTTTTTTTCTTTTCTTCTAAATAATCAAAATGAATTTATTGAATCTATTCTAAAGTATTTCAAACATGAGTAGTTTTTCTGAGACATTTATGAATAGTTTGTATAGGTTATATAGGTGTATATATATTTCGATGACACAACAACAAAAAAGAAACATAAAATATCAATATCTTCTATTACAAATAGTTCATATTGTCTTCAGCGAAAATCGCACGCCAGAAAAAGAGAAGAACAATAATCATACTCATACAATCTGTAATAGAAAAAAAAAAAAATAACATGGAACGAATGTTTAAACATGCAAGGAGAAAAAAAAAAGGAATAGACAAAAAAAAAGAAAAGAAAACGACAATCTTTTCACAACGCCCAATACAACACATAGGTATCATTCGTTTTTTTTTTAAAGTTTTTTCATTCAAATAATTTTAAATGCAATAAATGTTATTAACAATATCATAGTAAAGCGAAATAGCAAAAGGTAAAGTTGAACGAGATAAATGTTATTGCTCAAAGCGTTTTGGATAAAGAAAAAAAGAAATGAAATGAAAAGAAAACAGAACTGACAAGGCAGTGATTATAGATTTCAAATGAATATTTCATCCATAAATGTAATAATTCGTTGTTTGATTTAATTAAGATGTTTTTTGTTTTATAATTCTGTTTCATGAAATGGTCGTTTTGGATTTAATTTTGATTTACGCATATTGAGCAGATCACCTACTTCTTCAGCATGTTTAAGTACCTATAATAATAAAAAACAAAAATTAAGAAGAAAAAGAAAGCATCAATTTCAAATATACTTCATCAAGCATTTCTTTTGTATGAGATGCTGAAAGACAAAAACGAACACGACCAAGTACTAATGGTGTAGCTGGAAAACCAACAGTAACAACAGCAACACCACGTTTTAACATTTCACGATTAAATGCTCTAAAAAAACAAACAAATAAATTTCATTTAAAAAAAAAAAAAAAAAATTTTTTTTTCAATACATACGCAATTTTTGATGGACTATATAATAAAGCTGGTACAACAGGTGAATGTGGATGACCATAAACAATAAAACCCATTTTTGTAAGACGTTGTCGAAAATAACGTGTATTCCATGCTAATTGATTAATTCGTCGACGACCTAGATTTATATCATAAATAACTTCAAGTCAATAAGGGATGATCAGAAAATTTTTTTTCACAAGATGTTTGTTCACTTTTGATCTGATAGAAAGTATTCAAAGCTATTGAGTTAAGATGTTCTTTTTGAATATATTCGTAGAAATTTTGTCTTAGCTTTTGTTTGCGAGTAGTAAAATAATATTTGAGAAGTCGAAAAAATTAGTCTGAACGGAAAATTTTTGTATTTTTATCACTACGATTTGAAATTAAAACTTGGGATCTTTATTTATATATATCAACGTGTAGATAAGAAGTTACCCTACAAAATGTTTCATGTTAAGTTCCTTTTGTATCTTTCAACAAGACACCATACTTTTTGTTATCTTATTTTATAGAGAAGTGTCTGCTCTAAAAAAACGACCGATTTCGACAGTTTTTAGCATGTTCAAAAAAGAACGTATAGCGTAAACATAAATCTGTTGGCGCATCATTTCCAAGCCTTGCAAAAAAAGTCTCTCACTACACTTGAACAAAAAAGGACAAAACATTTCCAAGTCCGTATACAAACTATGATCCAAACTTGTCGTTTTTGGCTCGTCTGACTGAAATACTTTCAAGCAGGATAAAATGAACAAACATATTCACCCGTCCAAACTAATTTTTTGAGTTTCTCAAAGATTATTTCATTAAACTTGAACAAATACTAAGACAAAACTCCTAAGCCTATATTCGAAGAGAACATGCCAACTCATAACTTTTGATACTAATCTATCGAGTCAAACGTGAACAAATATTTTGCCTAAAAATGTTTCGATCATTCATTATTCATCTAATAAAAACCTTCATGTTCTTCATTTTCATCAAGTAATAAACTTAGTACTGAAATAATTTGTTCAACAACTGGTGTACTCATTGATGTTGCATAAGTTGTAGCATGTGATGTTATACGAATATGATCAACTAATACCTTATTAATATTAATAATAAATTGAAGTAATAAAAAAAAAAAAATTTTTTTCTTTGTTTTCTCTCTACTTTTTTTCCAGCAATATAACCACCAGCTGAAGCAAAACTTTTTGTAAAAGTACCCATAAGTACATCAACATCATTAACATCACATTTCCAATAATCGACAACACCACGACCATGTGAACCCATAGCACCAATTGAATGTGCTTCATCCAAATAAAGATATGCTTTATATTTTTTTTTAAGTTCAATTAATTCTGGTAATTTACATAATGAACCTTCCATACTAAAAAAAAAAAAAAAGAATTTTTTTTATCATAGTAAACTATAATTTAGTCGTTATTAAACAAACCTATATACTCCTTCAACAATAATTAAAATTTTTCTCCATGGTCGATGAGTTCGTGATTGTCCGGATACAATTGCTTCACGTAATAATCTTTCCAAATGAGCCATATCTAAATTTATTACTTTATAAATAATTTAAAAACAAATAGAATTCAAACCATTATGTTTATAAACTTTAATAACAGCACCCGATAGACGAGAACCAAGAACAAGTGATGTATGATTAAGTTCATCACTCAATATAAGACAACCCTTAAAGAAAAATAAACATTTGTAATATTTTTCATTTTTCTTTTTTTTTTTTTTATTATAATTTTTTCTTCATATTCAGTTTTAGACAGAAGAAAATATTATTTATGTTTACTATATAGCAAAATGAAAAGAAGCAAATTAATTATACCTTTCCAACCAATGATGGTATATTGAGTGCATTCGTTGCAAATCCCATACCGAATGCGATGGCATCTTCAGTGCCAAGAAATTCAGCAAGTAGAGATTCAAGCTTTCGGTGTTGCATTAGTGTGCCTGAGACAAGTTAGTGAAACAATGTGAGACAAATACAAAGAAAACACCAATTATAGAGATAAGTTTGTATGGTTAGTTACATACAACATATTTAATATTGAAAGTTAGGCGGAGGGGAATATAAACTTACCAAATTCTTGTGTTGTACTTGATGTTGCAACACCACCAGTTTTTATTGAATTAATAACATTTTCTGTTATTTGTCCACTATTATTAGCAAAACCAAGATAATTGTACGAACCAAGATTAATTGATTTTATTTTGTTACCAGTAAAACTAAAAGTAATAATGATGATTTTGTCTTTAGAAAAAGAAATTTTAATTACTTAAATGACCAATTGTAATCGTCAGTAACACGTTCAAGAAGATCAAGTTTACCACCTGGTACACTACCAATTGGCCGATTGAAACAATCGGCAATACGTTGGTAAACATTACGAGTGTAAAAACTTTCATAACTTTGATAAAGTGGAACAAAACCCTATATAGATAGATATTTTTTCTATTATAATTCTTAATAAAATACTAAAGCAATTTTTATGATGGTACAGAATAGGATAGAAAATGTTGTCCTGTATCACGTCTGTTTTGAATATTTTCTTTTTCTTTGTATTACTTTTATTATTAAGTAGTCTTTTAATTGTCCTGTTTTTTTTTCTATTAATAGTATTCACTATATGTTAAGATAATATGATAAAACCCCATGACTACATATTTTTTTCTATATATTTGTTTTCTTATGATGAAATGTGTCATTAAAATACTATATCATGATGTTTCTATATTTTCTTGTATTTATAATATTAGTCATTATTGTAAGATTTAGGTATTGTATTTGAAAATGATATGAAATAAATTAGCTGTATAATAACTAATAAGTATTTTGATGATCGAAAGTCAAAATAAGCATTCCTAGTGTCCTGTGTCTAGTTCTAATTCGAATCAAATTATTATTCTCACTAGCATCAAACTAACAAATTCAAAATATGACTGGTTCATAACAATCGCACAAGGGAAGTCTTTCAATTGATTAATTTCTTTGAATCGGGACTATGTGCATTATATAAATTCAAATTAGCTGTGAATACCACAAAAAAAAGTTCATGCCCGTAGTTTATTGCTGTTGACATACTGCATTTTTAAGGTATGTTTTTAAATGAATACTGCGTCCTTCTTTGAGAACAATAGAAATACTCATATTTCAAATTTTGACTTAAAATCTTGCACAGAAAGAATCCTAAACGAGAATAGTTTCTTCTGAATGTTTCAAATCTTGTCATTGTTCTTATTTTAAGACATAGCTATAGTAAAAATGTGTCTTTTTACATTGCTTATATACATCGGTGGATTCGATGTTCTTATTTTAGGACAGAAATAAATCATAAGATCTAAAAATTTCACAATAAACTACTCTCCAGTCGAAAATAACTTCTCCTGCTGTTCCCCCGAGAGAGACGAAAGCATTCATTTAAAAACTATTGTAAATATGAGTATCTTCTTCGCACAGCAATAAGCTAAGGGCTTGAACTTTTTCAGAATATTCAAAATTGATTTGGATCTACATGACACACATAGTCACGACTTAAAAGCAATTAATAAGTTGAAGAACTTCCTTCATTAGATTAAGATATTCAATTTTTAACATATTCAATTTCGGCATCGGAACATAATAATGTCAGAGCTATTCTCATTGATTTTCTAATATATAATCATTCGATTGTTCAGGAAATAAATATTCAGAATTTTTCTAGCATCGATTGACTATATGAGAATCCTAACTAAACTCAACTTTTGAAAGTCTAATGATGTTTGATTAAAAAAAAAAAAAAAACACACTTTGTGATCGAAAAATGACTCATACATGATTTCCCATAAGACTACGTGCGCATTATTTTGTCCCTTTGTAATATATTATTATGTTCTTTTCCCATTCGGTAGAAGAAGAAAAAAAAAAACATACTTTTGTTACTTCTATTCTCTTGAATATCTTCTTCATTATTTAAATAAAATCTATTAAATTATGATTCTCAATAATTATTTTCTTTACATTTAAAATAAAATAAAAAATATTGATAATTTATAGATCTTAAAACATGATAGCTGATATTTTTTTTTCCTTACGTTCGTACTATTATAAATTATTCGAAGAGATCAAATCTAGTTACAACCTTAATTTATTCAATATATTCTAGTAACATTCATTTTCCTAAATAATCGAATAATTACCTACAAAAAAAAAGTCAATATCGTGATCTATTTTTACCATAGACATAATCATATGTTAAATTTCTTAATTTAGTACTGATGAGTATATTTAATTTGATTCGAATATTCAACTTACAGTATGAAAGATTATGTTATAAAGAATAATTATTTACCGATGGATTATTTTCTGCTGAACCTTTTCGATTTTCAATTCGAGCATTTCGAAGAAGATCACGAAACCATCCAAATATATTTAAAATAACATAATTTAAATATGTCCAAAAAGCTTCTGAAAAAGGTGTATCTTCATAAACTTCATCTAATGATGGATGTTCTTCGACTGGTGTTGTATAACCAATATTTGAAAATGATTTCTTTTTTTCATGACGATTACTTTTTGCCATGTTGTTAATTTTTATTATACTGATCTTAAAAACAAAAGAATAAATACAAAAGATGTTAATAAAATAAGAAACATCTCTTTCGTTTTTAGATATAATATAAAAGATAAAGATAAAAAAAAAAAAGAACTAAAATATAGATAGAGTTCTTTATCATCTTAGTGCTTCTATACCCTAAAATTCTCTAACAACCTTCGCACTTTTTTTTTTATCAATTTGTATGCCAAATTAGTACAGAACTTATGATACTCTGTATCTTTTTTTTTGGTTATTTCATCCAGATAACTAAAGCTGAATATTTTATGTGTAAATGACAATAAAATACCATTCTTTTTTGTTATTCTGCATAAATCTAAATTATAAATTGTATTTGATGACATCGAGAGTGGCAAAAACTAAAATAAATAATATGATTATTAATCAATATTTAGTTGTTCACAAATCATTAGTTAACCACAATAAAGAATACTACTACTACTATTGATGATTCAGACAAAAAAAAAAAACAGAAAGAAGAATCATTAGCATATTCATTGTTGTCCTCACAACAAATGTACTAACAACGATACAAGAATTGAAAAGCCAATCCGGTTTTATTAAAACATAGCTAATGTTGTGTGTCGACATCTGATATTTAGTATGAGTAAAAAAATTGTACGCTATGCAAAAAAGAAATATTGTGTTGATTCTTTTTTAAGATCCGTTATTTGTGTTATTTTCTAGATAAGATTACAATTCCAGCTTCGTACTCTTTTTCTATATTAGTTTTTATATTGTTGTAATTCAAGTGTTTATTTTTACAGGAAAGGAGAGAATATTTTAAATTAATATAGCTGAAAAATTAAAGTATTTTTTTTTATTTTGAAATAATAAATAAGATTAGTAAAGTATAGTTTCATTTGAATGAAATGCACCGTTGAGTAATAAAATATTTAATAGTTCAAATGGTTTGCCAATGTTATTAGTTTTTTACTATAAATTAAGTTGCCAGAAATACAAAAATTAAGAAAGGATTTTTTTCTTCATAAATATATATATGTGGTTGTATAGAGCCGTGACAAATTTATCAAGGATATGTAAGTTTTTAATTTTTTGAAATGGTTTTTTAGAGAAAACTTTTTCAGTTTTTTTTGATTAATCTACATTTTCTGAAACAGAGGCTTATTTTCGGTAGCCAATCGATTTTAAAGTTATTGATTTCCTCTAAATTTCAAAACAGCTTGTTTTCAGATTTAACATGACAAAATGAATTTAGGGAAATTTTCTACAAATAAATTTCCTAAATTTTGTTTTCCATGGTGAGCCTGCAAACAAGCAATTTCGAAATTTAAAAAAAAATAAAAAACTTGAAAAGTTCCTTTAGTTATCGACAATAGTCTTGTTTTTCACAAAATGGCAGGCTATCTAAAAAAAACTGAAAATTTTCTCCTAAAAAATCAATTCTAAAGCACTGATAAACTTTCATATGTTTGATCAGTTCGTCACGCTCTATCTAAGCATACATACATCTGAAGAAAAGAAAAACCTTTGTCTTAATTTTGCATTTCGGACATCTTACAAAATAGGAAGTAATCAGACTGCGAAAAATAACTTAGCATATGATTGAAAAATTTCGTGTGAATTCTTTTATCCTAAAGCAATTATGTAATTGATAAAAAGCAATATATAACAATTGTTATGTTCGAGAAAAATTTTACAATATCATTATCATTGATATTAATTATTTTTTTCTAATATTCGTATCGAAAATTATTTTTCTTTTCCTACTATTATGTCACGCATAAACGCGTGTCTTACTCCTATTGCATATGCATAACTATATGTATTTGGTATAAACAAAAATACAGTTGATAATTTTTTAAGAAAATTTTATGAATATTAATAATTAAAAAATTTAATAACAGATGATTGTTTCGAAATCTGAGCTGTCTAATACATAAGGACTGAACGAGGAAAAGTTTGTCATTGTCAAATATCAATCGAACGTATAGGTTGCCCATATACTGGGTATGCCAAGAGTTTTGCATCGTTTTTTGCTTTGCAAGTATTCTTTGTTCAAGAACACGGTGAAAGACTGGTTTTTTTTTCAAAAGATGTTCCATTTAATACTTTATGAGAATTACGAAACCAAATCTTTTTCGCTCTTTTTGAATAAATCAATAAAAACGAAGATTTCTATGGTCGCACTATGTTCCATTATAAGAAATCTGAAAAGCTCAGAAATTACGAGATTAAAGTATTAGCAACCAAGATTGTCGCCCTGAATGATACACTAAATGAATATATTGAACTTGCTAGCGTAAAGAAACAAAACAATTATCAAGTTGTTGAGTAATCAGTGATTATTTCTGTTCGGTGCCCTTTTCTCATTTTCATTTGAACACATTATCTCTTGATATCCTTTTGTGCAACATTTGTTTCAGTTCGTTGTTTTTGTTTTTAATCTCTTTTTACAACTTCAGTCTCAATATGATCAGTAGATGTATGAACTAGATACCAATGCAACAAGATCATTGCTTTTTTGAACAGTATCTTTGAATGAAATTCCTAGAAAAACTCTTTAGGAGGAGGTTGCACCATGAAAAGTAGAAACAAATGTCAAAGTTCTTTTTTTTCTTCTTAAACTTAGAATAGATAACAACTTATCTAATTTTACAGGATTCACTAAAGTTTCATTTTTTTCGAAATGTTGCACTCGAGAATGAATGAACTGTACCTGATATGGTCTGTTTAAAAATATCCAAAATGTTTCAGTTTTCTCATGATGGACGTACTGTGACAATAGACATCTTCACCTTTATTGATTTATTAAAATTTGAGACAGAGCTAAAAAGATTTGTTTTCGTAATTCTGATAGAGTATTAAATGGCGTATGTTTGAAAAAGATCAGTCTTCTACCGTGTTCCTGAACGGAGGGACATGCAAAATAAAAAATGTCGCAAAATTTTTGGCGCATAGTCGGTATAATACTCAGTAAAAGTAATGACAGCCAAAAAAGGGATTCGTAATTATGTCTTACTATTTTCAAGTCACAGTCGTTTTACTAAATTTTCAATTTCATGCAAATCAACTGGTCAAAGATCGTAAGACACAGGTTTGACCTAAAAATTTGCCGATAAATAGGCCTCATCGTTATTAGATTACTCTAAAAGCTTCGCGAAGAAATCGTGATTTTCAAAGGAAATTTTTATCGCAATCTAATAACAGTGAGATCTACTTATGAAAAAAGTCTCAAGTCAAGCTTGTGTCTTACGATCTTTGATCAATTAGCTTGCCTTAGATCAAAAACTTAGTAAAATGATCATAACTTTCAAAGGATAATATAAATATGCGAATCGTTTTTGCCTTTCACTAGTCTCACCGAGTTCTTTATATGGATGAACTATACACTCGATCGATATCCGACAGTTCGAAAGTTTTTCTCGTAAGATTAAAATGATATTTATTATTGATAACTCTGCTTATGCATTATTAAGAATGATAATTTTGTATTTTAATTTATCTTAGTCAAGAAAATTATTAATAAATATAGGATTTTCTTTTTTTTTTTCTCTCCTTACCTCAACCGTTCTTTTGAGACAAGAAAGTTAAAAATTGTTAATTATTTTCATGTACAAAAAATAAAAACGAAATATATTATTTCCAATACAATAAAAGAAAACATGATGACTCATTAATATACTTTCATATTATTCATTGAAAATTATAGTGAATACATTTAATCTTATCTTTATTAACGTGAATAAGAGTTTTATATTTTTTCGAATAATACCTATGAAAAAGATTTGTGACTATTACTCATTTATATTTTGATCAAGAAATAATCTTTTTATTTCTATTAACGATGCGTAATTATTTGCAAAAAATTTAAATAAAATGATTCATCTACAGTTCGAATTACACGTATTGATCGACTTAGTACACGTATAATTCATGATATTTGTACAATACTTTTTATTTCGAATCACAGAACTAAAAATCGTTTTCACCAACTATTTTTTTTCATAAGAGAGCATCGTTTGTTTAATCAACCGTAGAAACACAAAACTGAAGGCATTTATTTCTTTTTCATTTCGTTTTTTTTGCATCGTGCTATAGGTAGAGTCGTAAAAATGTCAACATGAAAATATTTTTTGTTTTGTATGATTTCATATAATTATATAATAAAATCAATATGATGTGTATTTTCTTGTCATTAGAATTAAACTTAGGTAGGAAATATGATACACAGCAGTATTTATTAATTTGTTCATTGATCTAAACTGAATAATTATTGTTTTTTGTTTTTCATTTCTAATAAATTATAATAGCTTACAATAATGTTAAGTATAATAAGAATATGTCTCTTTAAGAAAGTATTTATTAAACTATAAGAACTTTAATTAGGTCAAAAAAAAATTTACTTTTAATATATTCGACTATTTTGAAAAAAATAAGATTATAATGTTTTCTATTAAGATAAATCTTAAGTTATAGAGTATAGTTATAAATATCGTTTTCTGTTGTCAAGGTATGCGTGAAAACATAAATCTAAAAATCAACGCTTGTGTTTATAAGTTTTAGATTACAAAATAAATTAGTAAGATTTCTTTCTTAAATAGATTGAATTTCATAAAACATAAATTCTTCAATCTGTCATAGATTATTCATACGACTAAAATTTTCGATTATTACTTCCTGAGAAAATAATCTTGTATTACAATGAGAAAAGAAAAAAATTCTTATTGATTTTTGATTCCTATATTATAAATATCAATCATGATATAACATCTTTTTTTTATATATAATGAAAGATATTAAGACGAATCTCTTTAATCAATATCTCTGTATAAATAAGATCTGATTAAAATTCGACGAATTAAATCAGAAATAATAGATAAATGTACTCGATGAATTTATTCTAATATTGCTGAAAGAAATATTTTCTCCAGTGAGAAATATTCATACACGACAGTAGACAAAAGTTATGCATGATATTAAGCTAATAGCAATGACCATGTTAA